TTCAATGATAAATCATCATATTTAAAAAGTTAAACCCCTTATATCAGCAGCACTCTTTCTTTTTTCGCCACCTATCTATACACTCTTTCTTATGTATTATCTTTGACTAATTTTAACCCACTTTTAGTATTTGTGTCTTATAAAATAAAATAGGAATAAATATATTTTTGTGCCAATTTTTAAAAAAAATAAGCATTGACAACTCTCAATCTATGGGTAACACGCTTGAAATGTAAAGGTTTTATTTTCGCACTATGCTTGAATCACACAATGAGTGATGCTATTGGTCTGGTTCAATTTAAGAGCGCGTTACGAGAAATCGCTCGCGGTGCGCGTCAGCCTTTGACTCCACCAATTTGGTATAGGGAGCTTCTAAACGCAAGAGACCCACCGCGTATAATGTGCATGCTTCATGACTATGAGGAAGCCACTAGTACCAAAGAATGCATCATCCCCTCAGACAACATGGTCCATCGTTCCTTCTTCTATGGACCTAATGAAGTTGCTTCAAGTCGTGCTCAAATCCCTTATCATCTACGTGGTTCTTCTTCCAATTTTGAAATCATCACTGCATTCTTATGGAAGCGTCGTATAATGGCTCTTCAAACTTATAATGATGGTGATAAAGTTCGTATATTATGTGTTGTGGATGCTCATGCCAAATTCGACCCTCCTTTGCCGGACGGTTATTATGGCAATGTCGTCCGCTTTTCGATGGCCGTGACCACCGTCGGGAAACTACGAAGGAACCCAGTGGGATATGCTTTAGAGTTGGTGAGGAAATTGAAAGGTGAAGTGAGTGAGGAGTACATGCACTATGTGGCAGATTTCATGGCAATTAAGGGACGACCTCCTTCAATAAAGGACGTAGGGTCGTATTTGGTGTCAGATGTGACACAAGCTGGGTTCAATGATGTTGATTTTGGGTGGGGAAAGGCAGTGTATGGCGGACCGGCAAGGGCAACTGAAGTGGTAAGCTACCACATACCATATAAGAATGCTCAAGGACATGAAGGTGTAGTAATACCTTTATGTTTACCTGGTGAAGCCATGGATAGATTTGTGAAGGAGTTAGATAGAATGCTCAGAACAAGATTGATCAGTTCTTCCTTACAAGTGGGTTTTCTATAATACATGTGAATATAAGACCCAGTTTTAAGAGGTGAGGCTTGTGTGTTCTCTTCATTTTAGTATTGTAATTTCCTCGATCGTCAACTTTGGAAAAAAATTCATTGGTAAGAAAAATAAGGGCTCATGCCACTATTAGATGATGATTCTTTCTCTTGTTTACCCATATTAATTACAACAAATATAGGCTTCTCTTCTTTTTTTGGCCAACCAGGATTCTTCAATCATAGCCCTCCATTTTTTTTTAACTAATGTTGAGGTTTCCTTTCCTTCAAATGACATAGTAGAGATTAAGAACAGGAATGAACATAATTGCATCTTGAAATGTCACTACTCCTCCAGTACTCTATGTATGAACATCAGTTAAGTTCTTGTTATGAGATAATGGCAAGTTGCTGAGTCCCTCCTTCTGTAAACCAAAACATCCATAAGTTTCAACTTTTCTTCCCACTAAACCAGTTTGGTCTCTTTGATTCATTAAACTAGCTATTTGCCAAGCCATGTCACCGCCCACCAGCCACCATGCCGTTGCCACCTTACTACTCCCATACCATGTCGTCGTCATCGCCTGAATAATATCAACTTAAAATGTGTCTTCTTCAAGGTTCCAGCTCATAGATATGGAAGAAGTATGCTCATGTGCTCAATCAGTAACATCCAATATCCCAAATGGAAGATTGGAAGCAGAAGTAATATATCATTAAACAATTTGGTGGAACAACTACCAAATAGTAAGTGAGATTGCTGCTAACTTCCAAGAAGTCTCTGATTTGATCAGTCCAAGCCCCTCATCTGGGAATACCAGCTGCTAAAACCAAAATATGATCTGAATCCTTTATAGAAGGATTGAAGCCAACAACTTTATGAGCATTCCCCTTCCCTCATAAAATCATCTGGGCAGATCTCTTGACGGGGAGTACAAGGCAAAAGTAGGATTTAAGATATTACTCAATCATCATTCAGTATGCCCAATAATCTATCCTCCTATGATATTTGAAATTCCATATAAAAAGTCAAGCTGCCTGTGAAGTATCTTCTCATATGGAAGCCAATTCATCAAGCTTCGCCAATTTGGAGAGCTCCTTTTGGTCTAAGAACTTCATCATTGTATTCTAATCTTTTTTTCTTGGGGAAAATCGCAAAAAAAAAGACTGCCAAAATTAAAAAATTATAAATAGGGACCTATGACAATATTAGTATGGGTTTTGACAACAATTTATGTGTTTTGACAATAATTTTTATCAATGGGTCCTTGTGTTCAATTTTTCTATTTTGACAGTCTTTTTCTACGATTTTTCCTTTTTCTTCTGTGATTAACATATATAATTTGGTTTTTCTCCAAAAAAAGAAAAAAGATTCAACCAATTTCATCATGTCTAAAGATAGCTTTGCTGAGACAAATATGACTTCCGCAGGATATTGCTTTTGCTGATAAATTTGACAAGATCTGGGAGGTCATAATTTGAACTATACAGCTCTCAACAAGATGGTCCAAGCATCTACATAAAGTTTGAAACAAGACCAAACCGTGGACACCAAAATCAACCAAATCCAAGGTCGTTTAAACTTCTAGGGACACACAAACTCAAAAAATGCCACTTTTGGAACTTCAAAGTTCCCACTAGCTCCAAACCAACTCAAACCAATAGCAAACCTCCATTTAGGCTAATAAACACATTTCAATTAGTACAAGGGACAAAGAAAAGCCTCTGAATCAACTAAAGACAGATCACAAAGGAATTTGGCCACCTAAACTACTCTAAAGCTTAATTATTGTTTCCAAAACATGGAGAAAATGACGGAAAATAGCAATATTAGTGCTATTAACCATTGAGGACTCCAAGGTACATGGCACTTCTTTCTTCCCTTTCATGAAAACACTAGATTAGTAATAAGAGAAGACTGAAACATCATGCAATAATCAAAAAGCTAGATGGTGTTATATTCAAACAATCAAAATAATGAATCCTACACTTATAAACTAATAAAACAACAAAATAACAAACCTACAAGGTCATATGGCCAATATTCCAAAAAGCATGTCCCTATCTAAAAGGTGGGATGACATTGAAACCTTAGCAACTAGGAGAAAAACAAGCATACTAGTCCTGTTATTTTTAAGGTATAATTAGTTTTTTAATGTCACATTCCAAATGTTATGGTATAATTATTTTTTTTTGTTTCCAATAATAATCTAAAAAGATGGGTAACATTAAATGGAAGTAATTAAAATTTAAAATAGTGCGGCAGCATTAAATAGAGGAAAAAAATAAAAAGGAAAAAAATAATGGGTTTAGATTTATCTAATATCTTGAAATATTTTTTGAATGCGCCTTGCATTCTAAAGTGTTATACTCTATTTTGAAATATTTTTTCAATTGCATTAAACACCCTAAAATATATTATGGTTCTTTTAGTACCCTAAAGTACATTTTCAAGTTGAGTTTAACACCCTAAAAATTATTGAAAAATTCTTTAGGATGCTTGATACACATTTACTTAATAATAATTCATAGCAAAGTTAAAATTGCTTTTGAAAATATACGTTAATGGTAAAAGTATCCTTGAGAAAAAATTTTAAGACGAAGATTGCTGTTATGATCACTCTTTATAATGAAAGGTTAATAGAAATAATTGCAAGATAGATCAAAGACCACAATACTCATATATATATATATATATATATATTTGTAACCAATCTTATAATTATGACCCTAAGAGATAAATAAGAACCAGAAGCATTATAGATAAGATGATAAGCTACAAGGGCTATATGAAGGGAATAAGAACAGAAGAAACTCCATAATCACACAGACAATGGCCAAAGGGAAGAGAGAAGAACGACATAGAGGAATCACCACAATAATCTTCAATCCCTCCAAACCCCTTCTTGCCACATATATATGCTCCACTTCTTTCGTGTAAGCCCAAATCTGTAAGCCCATTAACTTCATCCCAATAGTCACTTCTTCTGGCCCATTCTTTGCTATCTCAAGACCCCAAACCATATCATTCTTAGGCCCATTCATTACAATGCAAGATACTCTAAAGTACTGGGTGCATTTAGAAAAGTATTTTAAGGCATTAGATGAATCAAAAAATATATTTTAAAGTATTAGGCTCATCTAAAAACAATTCTTGTGAAATATTAACCTAAAAATAATTCTTACATAGCATATATCTTCCCCCCCCCATGAAATACCTGTGTGTTTTTTGTGAGGGGCAATAATTATGAAGGAAGGAAGTACTTCTCTAGTCCTATTTATATGACAGAGAAAGAAATTATTTTTTGGTCATATTTATAGGATATTGAGAAAAAAATTTATATGTATATACAAATTTTTTTTTTGATGACAAGTGGATATACAATTTTACCCTTTACTTATTATTATGTTGACTTTATTAAATGGCTTGCCCTTTCCGCGTGCATCCTTATATCGTATTCGTATGTATTTATTTAAAGCCAACTGCGTTTGCTTGTTTTTTTTTTTTTTTTTTTATCTTAACTGCCTTTGCTTGTGAATTCCGATTAACATGTCAGAAGCAACTAAACTATAGTTTTCAACAACCATTTTCTTCCCGAAATTGAATCACCACCTTTTCAGTTCAACCAAATAGTTTGATGAGACCCCAAATTTTGGCAAACGAAACCGTACACCTACGCTGCTACACTTATTGTAACTTATAGGCTCAAATTCCGACTGCATGCATGACATTGGATCTCCCCTTGGCTTTCCCATACCCTAGTCTCCCCCTGTCACTGTAAGCTATGAATTTAACACACCTGTCAATAAGTTGAAGGTCTCAATCGACGCTTTGATGAAGATGATGCGTTAAAGCCAACAATTCCACAGACTTGTGGTTTTCTTTATAAACAGTGGGTACAATTCGAAGCCGGGAGATAAAGATCAAGCTGAAGACTTGCTTATGCTCAAGTAGTGGATTAAGAAGAACGAAAGAGAATGGAAAGCAACACAGGAAAAGGAAAGGTTGTATGCGTCACTGGTGCTTCTGGCTTTATTGCTTCATGGATCGTCAAGCTTCTTCTTCTTCGTGGTTATACTGTCAAGGCCACTGTTCGTGAACCAAGTGAGTACTTTCTCTTTTATACTGAAGGAAGTTCTGCTTCGTTGATTTCTTCTTCTACTACTACTTATCAACGAAGAGATAGGAGAAAGGATTTATTTTACACTTCACATTAACCGAATTTAAAGTTTCTGCTGGTGCATGTGAGATATAAGTTCATGTCTTGTTTCACTAGTTTGTTGTATCACGATTTCTGGTTATGGTTTTGAGTAGTTGGAAATTGGAGGAATGATCCAAGAACAGGGCATGCATGGAGAATATAAAATGTTAAGGTGTGTTGTATGAAGGTGAATTCGAGAGAAATGGAGGCAAATGCCTAAAATGGACACGAATCAAAGATAAAACACAGATTGCTAGATACATCAATTCCTTAATTTTACTCTCTGGGTTTGGCACAAATCAATTCTATTTTGCTCTTTCTTATCATTTTGAGTTAAATACTAGTGATGGTTTGTAACCCCTAGCAGATGATTCAGTAAAAGTAGACCACTTGCTCAAACTTGATGGGGCAAAGGAGAGACTGCAGCTGATTAAAGCAAATCTCATGGAAGAAGGTTCCTTTGACGTGGCTGTTGAGGGGTGTGAGGGCGTCTTTCATACGGCATCTCCTGTTGTTCTCAGTGTTAAAGATCCACAGGTTGACATCAATGTAGAAAGTCTACTGTATCTCTAAACCAATTTTTATCATCTTTTGATTATCTTCTACCCATTTTTAGATGTCTGTTCCTGCATAGAAATAAAAGTCCAATAACAGGAAGACAAAGACTTCAACATTGCATTTTGTCCAACAAAGTAGGCTTCCAATTTTTCAAATACATAAACACATAGTGACGCTTCTCAATGGCATGCTCCTTTCTCTTCCCTTGGCAAATAGTAAAACAAACTCTTGTATTGATAACTTAGTAAGTTCACATGTACTCTAAGACTAGTATCACAATTGTGAGTTTTCCATTAGCTGTTGGGCAAACTGGGGATTTATGCTAAACTTACGGTAAGAATGGTATCACGCCTTAGGTCCCTCAGTGCCCACTATCCATAATGTAACAGGCCATAAAAATAAAGAGGCCGTAAAAATAAAGAGTGGCATGACTGCCCCTGCGAGCTACTGTTCTTTACCTTTAGTTAAAGTTATGTCTTTTAGAAGCCAAGCTATCCATATAACTTTGGCCTTTTGCTGTAAGGCTAAGGTCGACTTATTTTGCTTACTGTAAGGATTATAGTCAGTAATGTGCAATCTGGAATATCTTAGCATGCTTGACAGCCAAAGAAAGTGAATTCTTGACTACTTCAGAGTGAAATGCTGAGGTTTTCCCAAGATCTGTCTGTTATATACAGAGATTTATATTGACTATGGACTATGTGGCATTAAGGATTTTGTATTTTTGGCTTTGGAATCTGTTAAGCTCCCACGAGTTTAAATTATTCATAAAGGCTAACAATCTTTTGAATTACCGCCTCGTTGTCTGGTTAAAAAGGTTTTTTCCTCTTGCTAAATTCTTACTGTCCACCCCCCCCCCCCCATTTCAGACTGAATTAATTGATCCAGCAGTCAAAGGAACTCTTAATGTTCTCAAATCATGTACAAAATCACCATCCGTGAAACGAGTTATTTTGACTTCTTCCACTGCTGCAGTTGTGTATAATGGAAAGCCTAAAACTCCTGAAGTTGTAGTTGATGAGACTTGGTTCTCAAATCCAGATATCTGTAGGGAATTTAAAGTATGTATTATAGTTCATTATACTATCAAGGTTGAGATGCTGAGCTTTTTCAAAGGCTTACAGGCCCTATTTTTCAAATGCTGAGAAATTGGCAATGTTGTGGAATTCTTCATATTTCTTATACATAATTGAAGATCATTATGTAATCATCTACCTATCTTTTTTGTGTGCACTCATCAGGGATTTCTTCATGTTGTAAATATCCATGAGGTTTTATCCTTCCTTATCATCTTTTTTTTTTTTCGGGCCATGTGCCAGGAATACTATTTCTCCTTCTTGGTTCTTGGCCTATTAATTGATGTCCCCACTCCCCAGTGGTTGTAAATCATTCAGAATGTAGTACACAACTAATTCTTGACTCATCTATTTTTTGTGACTTTATTTTGAGTGAAAGCTGCATGTTTCAATTATGACAAAGGACAGTCCCTTGAAATCAGTTGTAATGTGATGCAGAGAGTGCCCATTAAACTTGCCAAACTGCTTCAGCCATCCTCCCACTTAGTTTATTTGATAACAGATCATTACTCTGAAGCTTGTATGCTTTAGAAAATTGCTGCTGAGTAGTATTGTTAATGTATATGTTCCAGCTTCCAACGTTTTCTAACATGGTATTTCTCACAAATAATATTTTAGAATGCCTTTCAAGTTTCCTGCTCTGTTTATTTTGTGCTTTCAGATGTGGTATACACTTTCCAAGACTTTGGCCGAAGATGCTGCCTGGAAATTTGCAAGAGAAAACAAGATTGACTTGGTTGCTCTCAACCCAGCAGTGGTGATTGGGCCACTCTTGCAACCATCACTTAATGAAAGCTCTGCTGCAATATCAAATTTAATAAATGGTATGACCTCTGGTTTTTAATATAAGGGCTACTTAACTAATTTGAATAGATTAAGAAAATTAAGTAAGTTAGGCATTTGTAATGAATATGAGTTGATTTCTCTAAAATATCTTTTTTAATCATGACTACCTTTAGATGGAAACCTCTTAATATCTATGATCAATATGGATACTTAAAAGAATGAATTATAAATTTGGGAGACAAAGTGGATTGAACTCTTATATTTAGAACCAAATCTAAATCCCAAATAGCTTTTATAGCAAGGACTAAAGGTAGTAATTTCCATAGATTCATAAGGTTCATGCTGTATTGAGCACAAAAATAAATTTTGTCGCATTATTTATGCCCATCTGTATTGTCTGATCTTTCAACTAAAATGTTTGTTCTAGCTCTAGTTAATAGAAAAGAGAATTGGTGTCAAGGTGTTGATCTGTACAGAGGGATTACGGGAGACATGATGATTTTAATCAGAGACTTTATTTTCACTTATTTGATATGTATTTTTGGAATCATGATGCGTACCATTATAAGACCCAAAACAGAAATGCTCTTTGCTATTATCCTTTTTCACTTGACATTAGTAAATTAAGATAGCGACAATCATGATTTCATCTTTTGTAGAAATTTTCTTTTACAGATTTGAATTTTGAAGTACAAATTCAGGGGGATAGAGTCTCTGAATGTCCATTTTCATTGTCAACAGAGAAAGTGTACATATAAAGAGTAGGGAGCATAACTCCGGATCAGTCCCACTTATCTAATTCAAAATTTAATATATCATGAGAAAACAGTAGCAACCAAGATACATGTAACAAAATAGAAGGGTTATATATTGGGAAGGATACAGTAGTAAAACTTAAGTGAGATCTCTAACATGTTATCTGGAGTTGTGGAGTAGACATTTAACATCCCCAGCTTATAGATTAATCTCTTAAACTTTACCTGAGGTGGGTCCTTTGATTTTGGGCAGATTTACCAAGTTTCTCCATAATGAAGAGCTTATAAACTCTTACGGTTTTCATTCAATCATGATACACAAAATTTATTGCAACCTAATTGTAGACATACATTGTTTCGCAAAATATTTTCCTGGATGCATATTAGACGCAAGATGGCTCTGAGTTTTAAGTCCTAGGATTTGCAAAGTCCCGCTTAGATGCTTAGTGCTTTGAAGAATAGAAGGTGACTTCTTTATATCAAAACAGTTATAGTTTTTAATTTGTTTTCCCTTCAAGTTAATATATACTTCCTCTGGTTCAAGGTATAAGATAAACTTCGTTGAAGGGGCTTCTTTTTTTTTAAAAAAAAAGAGAAGATAACATTCACTTTTGTCATACATTTAATGAGTCTTTTTCTAATTTTACCGCTAACACATATTGTCTTTCCTCTTTAATTCATTTATTGCATTTTTTATTTATTCTCTTCATTAATAAGGATATATTTGGGGAAAAAAAACACATACCTTACATATTTATTGTTTTTTAAACTGATTTTAAGTAATTTCTTGATAAACATAAATAAATAAAATTTATCTTATATTTTGAATCGGATGTAGTATTAGTTTATTACTATTTTGAGAGTTCTAGCTGATTTGAATGTGTAAAACAATTTCTTGTTGTGGCCCCAGGAGAAAACTGTTTATCTTTCTCCTTGGACTATTCTCAGGCTTGTTTGATGCAGGTGCGCAAACATTTCCAAATTTTTCTCTGGGTTGGATTCATGTGAAGGATGTTGCAAATGCTCATATTCAGGCATTTGAGATTTCTTCAGCAAGCGGAAGGTATTGTTTGGTTGAGACAGTAGCACACTACTCTGACATTGTGAAGATTTTGCATGAGCTATATCCCACATTACCACTCCCGCAGAAGTAAGTTAACTGAATCTCCACGTGGTGAAACCTCTCTCTCTATCTCTCTCTCTTCCACAAGCACTAATATGTAATTATGGATTTAGATGGGATTTTGTTAGATTCGTTAATTATTAGGATTGTGTTATGATTTATTTAGATTTAAATAGGATTTAATATTATTGTAAGATTTGAATTAGATACTATCTCTGATTCTTAATATAAGATCTTGTTTGACTTTTGATTTAATCTTAAATATAAGACCCCAATCTATTTTGTTTTTCATATTTATCTATTTTTTTCAAAGTAGTTATTGTAGGTTGCACATGCTAAAGCTTCTATCAAATGATAATCCTAACTTGTACACATTATTAGTAAGGGTATTTTAGAAAAGACAACACCTAGTTATTATAAATAACTAACTTAACGAATTTCTTTAATCTCTTCAAATTAGTCAAATAGGTCTGATATTAGGGACCAAAGATAGTATTTCATTAGGATAAGATTAGGATTACCCTTGACTTATAAATAAGGGTAATTGTCAATCTTCTTCTCTTATGTTTTGATTTTCTAAATTATTCACTACATATAAATTACTCTTTCTATTCATTCTCTATTTCTCTCTTTCACTTTTCTTTTCACAATTCCCCTAACACATTGGACCAATTGCATTCCCCTCTTCGGAGATTTTTAGAACCTTCATTGAAAATGAAAGTCGTGTATCCCGTAAAGATATGTTCTACCAGAACAAGTGGATGACTTGGAGGCTGAACTTGTGTACCCAAATAATTTGCACCCCCTTCTTATTCTTAATTACCTTGGCATTTGTTTCTTGCTTCCTCAATAACTTATTAGGTGTGAGAACGACAAGCCCTTCATGCCAGTGTATCAAGTTTCCAAAGAAAAGGCAAGGACCTTGGGGACTGAGTTCATTCCCCTGGAAGTGTGTCTCAGCGATACAGTGGAAAGCTTGAAAGAGAAGAACTTGATCAACTTTTAATTGTGATCTTTCTCCAGAAAAGTAAATGTTGAAACCTTGAAACATGTTTTAATTATGTACCTCTGGTGTAAAAGGCTTTTGTTGCATTTTCTACGAGCTTTATCAATGTGTATGATTTGTGAGATGTCTTACAAGTTTATCCATTGACACGATAGATGATAACTAATATTCCCTCTTGTCCCTATTATCAAGCTTTTTTTTTTTTGAAAAAGAACAATTATTTCTGATTATAGGTCACCAAATAGGATATTAGTTACGTTTTATAATATTGTCTCTCTTTAAAGCATGGTGCAATTTTTTCCCTCTCAATGTATTTTATGGTTTCAAACGTGGATAAATATGATTTTTAATCATTTTCGAAAAACTTTACTCACATAATTACTTCGTTTTGGTTTAGGTAAGATAATTGGAAGTGTCTTGTAACAAGAATTAAAAGGAGTGTACGAATAAGATTTTCGCTGTCACAATTTTAAGATCCAACCTGATCACATATTTTTGTGGCTGAACCAAATCTTTGGTTGGTTCCTATGAAAATCGTTTTCAATCTTTGATTTTATTACTCCCTCCGTTCCTTATTATAAGAGACAAATAACCGAAGTACATTGATCAAAAAAACAGTTAAAATTAGTTAAAAACAATTAATGTGTAAAAAGTATAATTTTTTTCCAAAAATGCCCTCATTAATAAGGAGAGAGAGCATGAGAGAGAACAATTAAATTATTAAAAGAAAGAAAAGTGGGAGGGAGAGAGTGTAAGTTGGAGATAATAAATATGGGTAAAATAGTAAATCAACACAAAAAAGTAGAGACAACTTGTAAGTGTCTCTTATATATAGGAACATGTCATAAGTATCAAATGTCTCTTATAATAAAGAAGGAGTATTAACTAACATACCATATATATATATACACACATATATATTCGTATGGGATGGTAATACTAATACACTCAATAGCATATTATGCAACTATTTATATGTAGTCGGAAATGTTAATACATTCAGTAAAATATATTAATTTTTAATTACAACTTGCTTTAATCATTCCATGATTAGCAAACGGCGACTGGTTCAAATGACAACACGTGGAATAGTATTACATTCATTTTTGCTATTGGAAGTGCATCTTTGCGTGCAGGTGTTGACAAGTTTGGCAATGGGACCTACGTCCCAGACATAGAAATTAGATAATAAATTTACGAGATGAGTTATGTTTTTAATAATATACTCTTTCTGTGCTTAATATATAATCTAATTTTTGAGTTGATTTTTATTCTAAATATAAGACTCGTTTCTTATATTTATCAATTTTTTCTAAATTACCCTTATAATACTCTCTCAACCATAATCAAGTAGAAGGGAGGAGGAGGTATTAAGAAGATGATTATGGTTTTTAGAAAAAATGGTCACTTTTTTTTATAATTAACTAACTTACCTAACTTCTTTAATCTAATCAAATTAGTTAAATGGGCCTTATATAAGGACTGAAGAAGTATATTGGTTTTCTATAATACTACTTTTAAGTAATATTACTTTCAATCCTTAATATAAAAATTAGTTAATAATTGCTTTTACTCTTAAATATGAGACATAGATTCACTTCATCTTTAGAATTTATAATTCATTATCTAAAATATCAAATGAAGTTTGTATCCAAAGGTAGTCATGATTAGAAAGATACTTGAAAGAATTTAACTCATACTTATTACAAATAACTAACATTCTTAATTTACTCAAATTAATTAAATAACTCTTATATTGTTGACCGGCGGTAGTATTTGCCTTGGATATTACTTCCTTAAAGCAAAACTCTCAATATCTACACTCAATAAGGAGAGTAATCTCTTTTACTAGTTTTTACATTTAAGATGTGAGAGTATTATTTTTAGCATAAGATAGTGATTTGTGTTCGGGAGAATCCCACAAAAAAGAATTTTAAAATTACAAAATCTTAAATAAGAGATCACTACAAAAATATATTGTTATTTGTAAGTTTGGTATTGCTAATATTTATTAAAGTATTGTTATCAAATTACCTTGAATTTAGCAATTTCAAGCTTGTTTTTGTGGGATTTTTCATGCAATTGGGTGCTGGAAATTTATTTATTTATTTTTTGGGTGAACTTGTTGAGTTACTGTGTGAAATCTGTTGCGCGTTCGTAAAATGCCGAGAGATTGTGCTCCGTCCACTGAACAGGGACAGCGCCAGCAGTAATTTAGCGGCAACCACTCAAATCCTCTTCAAGGTGGGGGGGTATGAGATTTGGACTGAAGTTGGTAATTGCTATCCAACCCGCCAACCGATACAAGAAATTGGGTTAGGATTGGCTAAAAGTTAATTAATCAATAAACAAAAGTTTTTAGCTTGTACTGCCTAACTCATAATCCGCAGGCCAACCTCTATTTATTTTTTTAATTTTATTAATTATTATAATTACATTATTATATTTTATATCCTATCTAAACAATTAAAAAAATACCTATATTATTTATTTGGTGTTTTTGTCAATTATTTGAAGAATTATATTTTCTTTATATTGTATAAGAAAAATATTTAAAAATTAAAAAAATTAAAAGAAAAAGAAATAATAATTGGCTGGTTGGCTTTTAGACAGGGTCTTTTCAACCTGTACTGTCTAACTCTAACCCGCTATGGGTTACCCTACAACCCCTGAGTTAGCTCATATTATCACCTGTAATTTGGACCCATTGGGTTTTCCGGAGATATTTATAACCACTAACCTATCAAATTCTTCTTTACTTCTATTTATTTACAAGCCACCTATCAAAAATGAGGCAATCAATTAGTCTTTATTTTACTACCCCCTTTTCTTTAAAATATTACATCCGGTTTTAATTATAAAACTTAGTTAACTAATTTGATAAGATTAAAGAATTTAGTTAGGTGAGTTAATGGTAAAAAACTATCACCCATTTTCCAAAAATACCCTTATACAATTTTAAAAAATAACTCTACGCAATACCTGATCGCTCACACCATTCTTCCAGCTGTACCAAACCTCGGCATAACAGCACCTAATCAGATTGATCTCTCTGGTTAAAATTTAACAATTTGAGTTATTTATTTATTTTAATAATTTAAAATTTTATTCATGTATTTATAAAATATTAGAACTAACCCAGTCAAATTTTAATTCAGTAGTTGAAATGAGAAGCGGAGAGAGGAAGTAGAATTTTTCTATATGTAATAATATCTATTTGAATTATTGTGGTAGTATTTAATTATAGTTAATGGAATATAAGTAAGGATAGTTTGAAAAAAAATAAATATGAGAGATAAAGTAGATTGAGATCTTATATTTAGGACTAAATTAAGAGAAAAACTAGCTCTTATAATGATAGTTTTTCACTGTTACCCCTTCTTAGTTGTTACAAGTAGTGGAGAGAATTTTAAATGTTGAAGAAATGAGAGAATTTTCTAATCACATAATTCTTTAATAAATGTAAAATAGGTAACTTTTATCAATTTAAAACACATTTAATGACTTAACTAATTTTTCTCGGCTTGTGAGAAAGTTTAACTAACATCTTATATTTATATAATACTCCCTCCGTTCCTTATTATAAGAGACATTTGATACTTAGATCTAGGTTAGTTTTTTTTTGGGGGTTACTCACTCAAAATTTCGCCTTGTCACCTTACCATCAAAACATTAATTTATCATTCACTTATTATAGTAATACATTTATTAATTTTTTAAAAATATATTTGAACTTTGAATATTGAGACAGAGTATTTGTTGAGCCTCTTATCCATTATAACGTGGGTGGGCAATCAAACCAAAATTAAAACTTCAACTTCAAACTTGTTTAATCAATTTAAGCATTGAAATTATATTGGTGCAAAAACCATTAGAAAATAAGAATTAATAATTGTTTTTATTTTAAAAAGTAGACACTAACAACACTGTTACAAATAAGATAAAACTCGTGATTTTTTATTAATAAATTAAAAAGGTAACACTTTGTACTTGTCTCTTGGTTTCTCTTCTTTATCACCCTCTTA